TGAGGCTTTCCTATAGGTGTTTTTCTTACCCTTGGTGTGGCTTGGGAAGGGAGGAAAGAGGTTCACTTTGGGTCCTTCTGCAATATTTTACGTGAAAATTGACATGAAAAATTTTCAGTTATTGGTATTTTATTTTTATTCTGTAACAATAAATTCTGGCCTGGCTACATTTGTTTTACAAGACTTAGATATTTGTTATGTAAAAGAAATGATTTGAGAAATAAGTTGCCAGGTCTCCTACTTAAGTTTCCTGAGTGATATAATTGGAATTAAATTATTAATGGGAGATACTTTTAAAAAGATTGTTTTATGATCTTCTATTAAGGAATTTGCAATTCATTTTAATATTTGTAGTCTGATTTATATTAAAGATAATGCAATCTATGTCCAATTAACAATACATGGCCGATGTAATGTGATTTCCAGATCATGCAAATGGGGTGAGTTAGAAGGGGGGAGGAACTCAATTCTTAACCTCAGATGTAATTTGCTGTGCAAGTTCTGGCAATTTTAAATGACATTGCACTTTTTAATTTTTCCAAAGGCTCAGCAGCAAATTTATCCCAATCAAGAAAGCCTATTATTAATTTACAAGGACAATTGTAGGAGTCTTTATAATTTCTCCGTGCAATTATTCGCCATAAATTCTAATGGTAAAATACAAGTCGTTTGCAAGAAATAACGACTATTATTTGCCTGGTGCTCGAACCCTCTGCTTTAATCTTGAACATCCACCTTCAAGCGTTGAAGATCCCGATTCCCTAGGAAGTAGCGTCACGTGCTTCGTGAGCTGCTTGACGTTGGCCTTCTAAGAGGGGCAGCCCGGGGCTGCGGTGCACTGAGCTGTGGATCCTGGACTTCCCCATAAAGAGACTCTTTGTTCCTCACTGAATGGCATTAGGCATGGACTTGCCGAGGGGCCACCATGAAGCCTCCGATGAGGAGGGTAAACACTAGCCGGAGAACACGGCGGGAGAGTCACACACACACACATGCTTGCCTTTTTGTGTGCAAAAATACATATTTTCCCACTCGCTTTCGCAGTTTTGGTTTGGGTGTGTCCCCCGTGCACAGTGTCCTGTTGCTAGACTAAGATGTATTTTATTTGCAGTGTATTTTCTCTGCCTGCCTTTCGTGGCAAACACACAGGTGTTCGAGATACTAATTTGCACAGGCTGAGGTTCAAATGTGTCTTTCCCTTGACTAGATCATCCTCCTGACTCACTCTTAATGTGAGTCACATGATGCCCAGTTAAAAACACCACTTCGTATGATATAAATACTCAGACCTGGATGACCCAGGATCGGTCGGACAGCCGTATTCTAATCATCGAGAAAATCATTAGCTTTAATTCTTGGGTTTCTTGTGGCCAAAGCTTTGCGCTCTCTGCTGAGCCATCTCTGGTCCCCTTTCAGCCAGCAGAAGCCATACAAAAGTCTCACAATGGACGTCTTAATCTCTCTGTGTGCTTTTAGAACATTATTTTGAATTCCATCATGCTGCCTCTTTTCTCTCGTCTTCTGAAGTTTTATTAAAACGGCAGAGTTCCCAGGGAGCTTTGGGGGCAAGGTTCACATAATATAGCCCTGAAGTTCTGCTAGGTGGGAGCCGTGTCCTCAGTCCTGGCCATCTTTTGGTGGTCTTTCTATTTCAAAAAGATTCACTGGGTTTTCTTCTAGCATTAGCTGTATATGGTTTATTTTTTATTTTTTTTTATTTACCAGACAGTGAGCATCTACAACCCTTTCATGATGCTTTTTTTCTCTGACCCCACAGTGACAAGGCATCTTGTTCTTTAACATTGAAGGAGGCAGAAAAATGCTTGAGTTTCTCAATGTGTGCCTTCTATACCAGTTTCAAAATGGCTTATTCTTCTGGTCTCCATGGCGACAATTAACACTGTTTCAAGGCATTGTTCCAGTCTCCATTTGGGCAGAATTTTCGGTGTGATTTTTAACAAAAAAAAAAAAAAAAAAAAAAAAAAAAAAATAATCAAAAGCGCATTTGTATTTCAACATTTATCATTACGTTGTCCCAATTGTAAATGAGTGCGTGTGTGCACCACCATGCTCATGTGTGTTACAAAGAGAATATAGGCTCTATAATTCAATTTTAGCATTTGTGCTTTTTAAACTGTAAGCTGTAAATAAGTTTCCATTTTAATTCTTAGTTAAAACAGTGAACTACTATTAACTGTTTGTTTTTTTTTTTTTGTTGTTGTTGTTGTTTAACTTTTCTTTCTACCCACAGACACAGCATTTAGGGTACTAGTGGCCTCTGTCTTTAATTTAGATCACTCACAGATCTATTAAGAGGATTCATTAGACCAAATTGAATTGGCCAAGCAAACACACTTAATAATGTAAATATGCCCTTTCAATAGAGTATATTTTATTTTTGACTAGACAGTGAGGCCCACAGCAGGTGCTGTGGGGAAATTAAATGCTGGATGCTTATTTACCTTAGCCCTCAAGAAAAGCCATCTGACTTTAACATTGCTAATCTCATTTTTGGCTATTGAAAAGTAGTCTATATCATAACATCCCCAGACTACAAGACACAATGGGGCTCACTTGCTGCTGTGGCAAAATGAATATGAAGATTCAATTATCTTCTCACCCTGGGGACAGTAGCCTTACTCCATAGGCTGACCAAGAGCAGACAGAGCTGGAGGTCGGGTCTCCCCATGAAATGCTTCCAAAATGAGAGCAGAAGTGAGCTGGCGTCAACAACTGTGTAGCCCTCTGGTCTCTCAGGTAGCTCGTAGGCCCTAAATCAGGTCAGACTCAACCTTCACAGATCTCAAAAACTAAAAGACATATTTTTGCATACCTTGCATGACATTCTAGAACCTTTCATTCTTATACTAAATATCTAACAAGGAGGCTGTCTTAGCTTTCATAGTCTGAAGGCGTGCTTTCAACCGTCACACCTTTCACCAGATTGTTTATTCAGGAGGCTGTTTGATAGAGAAGATTATCCCACTATGTCTAAAATTGAGTTAATTGCTTTTTGTGTTTCATTATTCTAAGGCCTCCATTTTCACAAGTGATGTAAACTGTTCTCTTTCGCCCTAACACACTGTGATAGGAGCTATTCAAAGTTGGGTGAAAGAGAGATGAGCTTGCTGAAGGAGAAGCAGTAAGAGGTAGAGCACTCCCAGAAGGCACGGCCAGAGGACTCACTCTGTTGATTAATACCCATGACATAAGGAAAACATTTGAATAATAGTCTTCTGCCTGCTTGAAATACTGCCTCCCCCCCCCATTATGTCAGTCTTACCTAATTAGTTATGTAAATCTTTACATGGGAATCTGATTACATAAAGCAGATTGCCTTCTCCTCCAGTCATCACGCTGACAAATAAAACACTATTTAGGTTTCTAGAATACTTGTTGAGTACTGAGTTGAGAAAACTCAAGTGGACAGTGTGTTTTCTGTGTTGGAATAACACGGTTCTGGTAATTGCTTACCGTTAGAAATGCAATCAGAATTTCCCATGCTTCGTAGTCCAAATTCTGAAAGCGCTCTAAAGCGACTCTTGATTTTCTTCAGTATACATATTCATGTAATTTTGGATACTCTGACACCCTGATCAACATTCATTAATAATATGAAATGCTTTAAATCACCTCATTTAAAACATTTTGTTCTGTGATCTACAAATGACTAACATTTGGAGAAGTTTACATAATACAAATGATGTGCATGTTTGGTGTAAATGGAGGATTAAAATATGAGACTAAAAGTCTGCAAACATATGCACATAAATGCTGAAGATCTAGTGACTGGAGCAGGGATTTCACTCTCTTTTCTGTTGGCTGCAATTGTATTTTATATAATATCAGGTTTTCAAGGGGAATAAAATCACCCAAGTGCTTGAGGATATTTTGAGCTTGTTGATTAACACTACTTTGCCCAAACAGAAGCTTTTCTTATTAGATCTGCTAATGGTGTTTACCTGAGGGCAGCCTTGCTCAGTCAGTGCAGAGGCACAAGGCTACCACAGCTGAATTTGTGGATTCAAAGAGAGAAGTTGTAGAATTGCAATTGTATTTGGAAAAACGTGCTTAATATGTAAAATATGTTTACTCTTTTAACCTAATATTGCTTCTAAGGGGTATTTTAACACACACACACACACACACACACACACACACACACACATACAGGCCCTAGTTACAGCTATCCGTAAGACTTTCTGACTCTGAGCTTTTACAAATAGAGTTATTTGAAAAGAATCACCATAGTAACTGTTATGCTAGATAGCTCTTACATTATCTCTAGAAAACATCTTTTAAAAAATTTATGTGGATGTGTGTGAGGTGTGTGAGTGCAGTGCCCAAGGAGACCAAACAAGGTGTTGGATCTGCCAGAGCTGGAGTTGCAGGCAGTTGTGAGCCACTCAACAGGGGTGCTGGGATTCGAACCCGAGTCTTCTGCAAGAGCAGTCAGTATTCTTAACCACTGAGCCATCTCTCCAGCCCCTCACACAGAGTTTTTAAGTAAAAGAGAACTGAAAACAAAATGTTAACTAAGATTTTAGGTAACTTACTGGGTAAGAAATAAATCACATAATATTTATAGATAATTTTACCTGAACTATCCCGAGATAGACCCGCTGAGGGTAGAGGTGAGAGGGGGACTCTGTAGCCAAAGGTTGGCCCAAATTAACTGAAATATTAAATCCTTCTAGTCCAGGTATTTTCCTATTTGTAATATTTCAAGTTAAAAAAATTAAATGTGTGTGTAAACTTAGTTGAAAAGACAAAAGCTTCTGAAGCTGCCTTAATATAACAGATGTTTCTGTGTACATGTGTGGCACATAGTTTTTAACTATTTTCAGCAATATCCCAGTCAAGGTAATTAGGTTTCACCTCCCTGTGAAAATTCTATTGAAAACAAAAACTTCTCCACCTATAAGCAGCAGACACTCCGCTCAAAGATTCCCTGAGAATGCCTCTGTCCCTAACGATATCACTTTCTCTTTTCATTTTAGCGATACAGCGTGGAACTGTCCATCAGGCACCCGAAAAAGACGGAGCTGCTTAGGAAGGTTGAAGCTTTGAGGAGAGGTGGCGTTCCACTACCAAACGAGCTCCTCGAGAAAGTGGATTCAATTAATGAAAAATGGGAACTGCTTGGGGTATTTGCATTTTTATTACTGTTTGTAGGTTATGTGTACATTTTTTGTGTAGTGAAGTATTCTATCTGTCTGGTTTCTAATTTGAGGCACAAATATCTCTCTCTTTCAATTCACTCCTTACATTTCAAACAACCTATTCATGTGATTATGGGGAAAACATTGCTTCCCCTCTTCTGGTTTTTGTTTTGTTTTGTTTTATATTTTGAGCTGTCTTCCCTCAGATTTTAATAATTTTGGTTCTTTAATACATAAAAGTAAGTAAAATATGCCATGTATTATGGGTATGCACCAAGTCAACACTAATACAGTATATCTGATATACACTGACTGTCATGCTTGAATGAATGTTAATAGAATTCATTCTGAAAATACATGTTAGAGACATGCCCTATTTAACTATTTACTGTACCTTAAGATGAAAAGTGGACGTGTCACCTTAGCCTTCAAGTCATACCTGGCCACCGAAACAAAGATGCAAATTTGACCCAAATCTGAATCGCAGAATTAAATAACCCTCCATTTTGTGCCTCGATTTCCAGTGGTTTTTTTTGGTCTTTCTGAGACAGGGTCTCCCTGTAGCCCCAGCTGTCCTAGGACTTACTCTGTAGACCACGCTGGCCTTGAACTCGCAGAGATCCGCCTGCCTCTGCCTCCTGAGTGCTGGGATTAAAGGCGTGCACCACCACGCCCGGCCTCCAGTGTACTTTTAACAACAACAACAACAACGACAACAACAACAACAACAACAAAAGTTTCGTGTAATTTATTTCATGCAATGATGGGCTGGGTCTCAGCCAAAAATGGAGATGCAGGAATCTGGCAAAAGGTAGCACAGGGTGTGTTACCCAGGGGCTGGGGTGGCTTGCTCAGGAGCAGCACCGCGCATTGCAGGAAGACAGCAGAGAGAGGTTAGCCTGTATCTTTTCATCAGCTTCTCTCCTAAATTGCCTTCACTTCAAATCAAGGGTAAGCTAAATTTGCCAATTACCTAAATGATTAATTATAATAGCTAAGTATGGGTGGTGTCAGTTATAGAGTGTAATTTTTCAAGCCTTCCATTTTTCTGCCTCTCTAAATTTTTTTTAAAGAAATAATACTCCAAAAATATTTTGAATTAGGAGCTCTCCATGCACCTTGATGACTTGGAGATATGCCAGTGTTCGGTTTATGCCATGCTTAATCTAAGTGATTAAAACCCTGCAAGTTTAAGTCGTTGGTTCTCATCTAAATTCTCTGCAGTCTGCGGTTGTTCAAAGTTACTTAAAATGCTAAAAGTTCTTATTCTTACCTATCATGACATTGCCTTTTAATGACAAGTCATGTATTTGGCTGCATAATATGGGGGTTTAAATCGGGACTGCTCAATTCTACAGTATCCGCTGATCTCCGAGAGGAGAAATGGGGTTAGGGTATGGTATTTTCAAAGGTTGTTTACTGAACAGAGAATAGTGGCATGATGTGCTAGCTTGTTGGCCTTGCACTTAAATGTGTCTCTTTTCTAATTTGATAAATAACAGTAATCCTTTAGAAAACTGTTTAAAGTGTGTCACGAATATTGCTTCCTCAAAAGAAATCTTAAATTGTTATTACACTGAAGATACAATATTTCATTGGCCTTTATGAGCCAGATACCTTTCAAACGGTTGCCATTTTGACAAACATATCACTCAAATACAATTCAGTTTTGCAGTGATTTGGGGATGGGAGGGAAGATTTTAATAAAGCCAGAGCCACACTGACACCAGTAGGCGACTGCTTTAATTGGCATGATTACATTTTAATTGGCATAAAAAAAATGAAAGACAAGGATTTTAACTTCTGACAATGGTAAAATAGAGGAATATGGTTTTTAGTATTACGTTCATCTAAGGTGAACAGTGTGGAATGGAAATACATTAGAATGTCAGTGGTGCGTACAGTTTAATCTGTGAAATTTTGTCCCCCATGCTTCCTATTACTGTTTCTCAATTGCATATTAAACAACCCTATCAAGGCAGGCATTGGCATCTGCTGTGCTGACACAAATTGTGAATTAAATGAAATTGATGTCCTCTGTCGTATATTTATGAAGACGGACCATTCTCTGAAGTATTCTGTTTATGAAGAATTTATGATTGCAAACTGTTCCAGAACAAAAAAGTGGCAATAAATTCTTTTTTGTGACCCTGCCCTCCAAGGGCACTGATTCTGCCTCCTGCTGCTACTTTTGTCGCAGCATAAAAACCGTAGGTAAATCTGGATCCCACCGAGGGTTTTCAAATTATCAATATTTGCACCATGAAAATGTGAGGGTGTTGCCAAGAAAGGTGGTTATCTGTCCTGATCTCCAAAGATGCTATTCATAGAACACCACAGAGCAGATGAATGTTTGTTGACTTAATTTTTTGTGTTTTAAAGCTTACCTTGTAAGTTTAATTTATCATCATAGATTAAATCCTATTGATTCTCCAGAGAGAGAGAGTGCATCCGCCAAAGAGAAAAGAAAGCCAGTTCGAAGGCACCTCTATGCCATAGTGTAGAATGGAAGTAGGCTTATACCATAGGGGAATGGGAATTATTTTTCACACATATAATAAATAATCTAGCGTCCAAAAGGAGAAGTGGGAGAACTGTGAGCCTGAACATTTCTACATCAGCGAAACCAACAGTCACACCCCAGATTACCTCTTCAGGAGCTCTCTGTCGTATCATTTGGGGGAACCGTCCTTCACAGAACAAAAGAGGATGTTCATTCTCTGTACAGTCCATTCTTGACCTCTTTAGTATATTGATTAAATCCAGGCTCCTGTCTTCGAACATTTTATACAGACAACTTTTTACTGTAAAATTTTGTTACAAGAATTCAAATGAATGTTTGTCTGTGACCATGGTGAACTTGGACCAAGAAAAGTCGAAGTGGATCAAGTGTTCGTGCACATCCACTGGTAGTCAAAACAACGTGTACTGAACTGTCCAATCAATGGGCCGTCGAGCTAATCTGAGTTGTTTTTCAGTAGTGAGGTGGAGGGGATTGCTGTACACTCTTAGATTGTGATGCGTTTTGGCATGTAAGCCGATCTATGTCTCATTTTGGTTTTTTTTTTTTTTTTCCTTCTTTTTTAATCGGATGCATCAGAAAACCCTAAGAGAGAATATACAGGACACAATGGCAGGGCACAGTGGGTCGGACCCACGTGACCTGCTCTCCCCCGAAAGCGGAAGCCTGGTAAGGCAGCTGGAGGTCAGGATCAAAGAACTGAAAGGGTGGTTGAGAGACACGGAGCTTTTCATCTTCAATTCCTGCCTGAGACAAGAAAAGGAAGGAACGGTGAACTCCGAGAAGCAACTCCAGTACTTTAAGGTAATAAAAAAACAAGCGAAGTTGATAAAAAAGCTTTCTTTACAGTAGAGATGAAATATTTATCAAGTACATAAAGTAGTATGCCCAGGCATCTGTGTAGGCTGTACACTTAAATGCTTCCCTGAATTTACAGACAATGCCCCCCACCACCACTTCTTATATGCTGACCTCTGTATGTGTAAAAATGAACACCAAGCGTATCAGCTACACGTCGTGTAGAGGAAGTCTCTGCTGGCTGTGTGTTTTGTGACATGTCTGTTAAGAGAGAACTTAGATAAATTAAAAGCAGATCAGTAAACACCAAAGATTACTGGGGACTCTGAAAGAGAGCTGAATATTCTATAAATAACTTAGGAAAAATATCCTTCCATAAATTAATACGATAAAAGCACATGATTTAATGGATGGTCATTAATGCTAACAAAAGGAAACATGATTTTTAGATGTGAAAAAGTCAAGTATCAATGGAGGACAGAAATGAAAGGGATCCCACCTTAGGCACATTCCACTGTGAAATGCTGCTAACCCTGGAAACACAGCTGAGGTTGGCCTCATGTTCACACCCTCGGACAAGCATTCCTCCAGTTAATTTCTGTTCTTTATATGACATACATATATTAGAATGCAGTTTGCAGGTTTTTAAAAAACATTTATTGTGTGTGTGTGTGTGCGCGCGTGCGTGTGTGTGCGTGTGTGTGCACACGTGTGCACATGCGTGGATGGAGGTCAGAGGACAATGTTTTGGAGTCAGTTCTCTCCTTTACCATTTGGAATCCATGGATCAAACTCAGCTGGTTAGGCTTGGTGGCAAGTGCCTTTACCTGATGAGCCATCACACCACCCCCTGGAAAACAGTTTAACACTTGAATGTTTTATCTTATTGCCCTGGGGAGCCCATATTGCCTGAACCCGCCCCCCAAAAGTAGGAATTTTTTTGAGACTTTGGAGCTTTGGAATATGAATTTGGTGGCAAGAAACCTTTAGCATGAAAGATCTTGAAGAGGAGGAGGAGCTGGGGAAGATCTTCCTGGGGTGAAGCAGCTGCTTTTTATGTCATGCCCTATACATGGGAATCAAAAAAAAATTAAACATTTGTTGCTACATTGTTTCATTGCTCTCAAAGCTTTGATCTTCAACTTTGTATAGTGTGGTCATCATTTTCAGAGAGGCCCGAGTCACACATTTTAAAGTGTGTGCGTGAGCGAGTCAGAGACACAGATGGCGGTGAAGTGGGGTGTAAGGAGAGGACTCTACAGGACACTAACTAGCATTTGCTAAGTACTTACCCTTCCGTATCAGGTGAGTCGACAGGAAGGGCAAGACAGACGCAAATTCTATTGTTTCTTTATGGAGGATTTATTAGTTACCATCTCCAGCTTGTTAGCCAAAAAGCCAGTCGATAAAGGGAAGTGTCAGGGTTTAGGTTTTTCCTTTTGTACTGTATCGGTGTAAACGTCCTTGCTGTGACCACCTTGGAAGTTGAAACTCTTCAAACCTTTTAAAACCGTGGTGCCTTGATTATTTTTCTTTATGTCTTTAAGTTTCTTTTCTTTGTGATGCTGGGATTGAACACAGGGCCTTGACATGCTCGGCAATCGCCCTACCACTGCACGAGCTTCCTAGGTTTAGCTAAAGTTGGTCTATAGGAGTCTGAGCTATTTTCTACTCGCTCTCTTCTGTGCCTTACCACATTCATCGGGAGAACAGAGCCAAATGTTTGTAATTCAGTATAAAAATGTAATATAATGTTTATGACTTGTTACTATCATGATTGGTAATAAGCACATACAGACTACAGACTTTTACTTGCTGCTGATCTAAAGAAGACATTCTCTTGAATCATTTCAGAGAGGGAATTAAGGAGCTTTATGGTGGAAGCTGTGTGCTCTGTCTTTTCTTCCAGTTCCCCCGTGTCCAATCCCCACTGGCCGCACAGAAGAGGAGAGCTTTACCCCACAGCTTAGCTTTAGGACCCCTTATTCTCTAAAATCTCAGGCTTATAACAGAACCGGTTATTTACACAGCAGTCAGAGTAATGTAGAGACCCCAGTACATGATCCAGGACACAGGAGGTAAGTGCTCTGTGTAAGACAGAAAGTCTATCTCTTTGTAGACAGAACTGCGTTTCCTGCCCACCTCGATGTGAGGGAAGAGATCACGATCGTAATGTTTTGTTGGAAAAAAAGAAAAAGAAAAAAGCAATTATAGAATGATTTTCTTTGAGGCAATATGAGTCAGAGAGGTGGGATTAGATGCAAGAGACATTCTGCTCAACACAGAGTCCAAGCCCAGCAGGGAGAACCCGTGAAGATATGTCTCCAAAGCCCTGGGTTAGAGGTATGTCACTGACGAGGACTAAACACAGTCTGACAACAAAGTGGGGGAGCGTACGTGAAGGACCGGATGAGGCCGGCTGGCAAGGGCCAGCTCTATGGGTGTGGTGCAGCCTCCATCTATCGGCTAGAGAGCGTGGTCTTTTCACCATGACTCTTCAGAAAGAAGAGAATGTACTGACTGAATCATACCTTCCTTGTATCCCAAAACCAAAGTCATTATTCTAAAGACTCTAAATTGGTGACACATGACCTATCACAGCTAAAGAAGCCCACAGCACTGGCCTGGGCCCAGAACCAGCTGGGGAAAGGGGAGTGAGACCTGTACCAGCCTGCTGCCAACAAGGGGCATGAATGGGTTCGACTTGGCGCCCTCCGCATTGAACACTACAGATTTCCCTAGCAATTCACGTTTGACCAAGCAGTTTTGTACACGTTATTTTACTTAAAATGTGCTATAATTATAGAAGTTGAAAGTGATAATGACCCTCCTTATATGTGCGTTTGTTTTTATGAGTGAAGACGTTAAGTGATAGAAAGTAAATGTGACTTGCTTGAATCTACATGATAACCAGCAAGAGAAGGGGCAGAGGTGATGCCCTTCAGACTCAAACCCTGGTGCTCTCCCACTCCGGCCCTTTCAAAAGAGGCGTAGAGACTTCGTTTTCTTCTGTATGACGGCAGACAAACATTTTTCATAAAAGGCCAAATAATAATATAATTTTTGCTAGTTTAACTGCCAGCATAGTGTAAAAGCTGCCACAGATAATATATGAAATAGTAAATATAGTCACGGTCAATTAAATTAATTTACAAAAGTGTTTATAAAGAGAAGGCAGGGGCCCAAGTTTGACCACAGGCCAGAGTTCCTTGACCTTGTGTTAGAATTTAAAAATGATAAATCTTGAAATAGTTGCATTTACATTCCTTTAAGAAGTGGAAGCCAGCCTTGGGGGATGGCTCAGTGTGTAAGAGCACTTGCTGTACACATGCAAGAGCCTGAATTTGAATCCCCAACATCCCCACTGTGACTTCAGCCCTGGGGCAGGAGCAAAGACAGGACCCCTGAAAAAGGTGGCTCCAGTCCAGGTACAGAGAGGGACCCTGCCTCACTGGACCCCTCCTTCTCTGGCTCACGTGCATACACATGCACCCCCCCCCCGGGAGAGAGAGA